AAAAAAAAAAAAAAAAAAAAAAAAAAAAAAAAAAAGCAGAAGACGATTGGCATATGCTTTTAGAAATTACGACTCTATCTTCTATTGGCCAATCGACATGCTGACCTTGCACTACAGCAAAAGGGGGATGGGGGGGATCTAAATAAAACAAATCAAACCCACAGTTGACGGGCACTGTTTCACCTGCTGTCGCATCTGCTGCCGCTACCACTTCTGCTGCAGCAGAGGGAGCGTGTTTGAAGGGTACTGTTGCTACTCCGCGAGAAGATGCAGGTGACCCTATTTTAGGGGCTGCACGGGCGGGGTGTCGGGCAAGGTTAAACCACCAGTACTTGGGTACTGCGCGCCGCGCCGGCCGCCCAAATCTCGAAGCAGCGCGGGCTGTCGATTCGATTTATCGACTGCCCGCCGGCCGCGGAAATCGCGTAGCGTTAACGCTAAGGCGTCGCCCAAGTACTGGTGGTTTAACAGGCAATATGGAGATTCCACTGGAATCAGCGTACGTCGATTCTTCTGATGCGATGGAGGGGGCAGCTACAATACAAAAAACAGCAACAGAAGCAGAGAAGGATACTAAAAAAGAAAATGCCGACCAAAAATATAGCCAGCCGGAAAGGGGTGTGGAAGGGGCGAAGAGAAAGGAGGGGATGGTGAATCTGAATCACCCTCTGAGGCTAGCTATCTGTCCTGCGACTCATAAGGCTCACTGGAGGAGGATAAACCTTCGAAAGAAAACAGGGGCAGAACTTCCCCCGGTAAATCAGAAAAGAAGAAAAAACGCGTAACTCAAAGACAACGCAAAGCACAGCCGGGAAAATGACAGATAATAAGTACCTAATTCCGGTCATTTGCAGAAAAACGCACGAGGGTATTTTACTATTTTTTTTCTAACCTACAACATGGGAACTAACATCAAACTTTTGTCGCCCTGCACACTGGAGGGCTCCCCCACCCAAGCAGTTATGATGGAAAAAAGTCAAAAACCACTTGGGTAGGAATGCCCAGTCAGAGTCATGCCAAGCATAGGCACCAGGATAATTTCCAGAACCGGGCAAAACAACAATAGGGTCCAACTCTTCTTGGCGCCTTTTGATGTTAGACCCATCGAGAATGATGTGGAGTTGTTGGCTAAGGGTATTTGTTGCCCCTTGCACTGGGTCAAGGAGGAAAAGCTGTTGCATTCCAACGTGGTCTACACAGCGGAGGGTATATCGGGAGATGTCCTCATTGAGTACAACCAACAGCTAGCTGCTGACTTTAACCTCTTATCAGGCCATTTTGACAGATAGTTGTCGGGCCCATGGTATGAGAAGCCTTAGCGGGATATGGATCATATGGGGGACACAGGGAAGGACAGGAGAAGAAAAACGAACCTGGGTTTGGCACAGGGTGTGACGAACCGATTTCTGTTCCGCGCGATCTTCTGCGCAGTAGCAACAAGGGGTCCTAAGCTGGGAAGGATGGGCCAATTACGGGAGATTGGGATGGAAGGGAAATTGCATCGGTGTCCTCGCTTCTTCGTCTTTCTGCGTCGGATTCAGGCCCAGGCAAGTCCCTGGGATGATTGATGGGGGATGCGCCTCCATGAGCGCGCGAATAATTTTGATTGACGTCATTCCTTTTGAAACGGTTTTCACCTTTTAGCAGTAGCGGATGCAGTACCCAGGGTTCGATCCCTAGACCTCACCCTACCCATGCACAGTATCTGTGTAGACCCCGAGAATTGAACCTGTGACCTGTGTATTCGTAGGCAGTTGGTAGACCTGTCGTAGGTCCATAGACAGCAGGGGTTCAATCTGTAGGTCTATAGCGTAGGAGTCTTAGTGAGTTCTGGAAGCTTAGCTGTAGACCTTCTAGAAGGTAGGCAAGTGGGTAAGTGGTCAAGTGGTGAGGCAAGTGGTGGACTAAACCGCAGTGCAACAGCAGTGCAACGGCGGTAGGATAGCGGTGAGTCCACAGTCAGTCAACGGAAGGTCCAGTCAGTCCCAGTCCGGTCCAGCAAGTACCACAGGGGGACTGTAAGCACCAAAGGCCGATGGCAAAGGGCAGACCAACGAGTTTCTGAAGTATAAATCAAGAGGCAGTGCCCAGCCATTGATTCATTCCTGCGTGAGCCATGCGGAAGCGCTGCCACAGCGACTTGTGCAAGGAGGTCTGCAGATGAGCCCGGAGGACGCAGTGGGCTAGAGAGAGGGAGTTAGCATAGCGATAGGGTAGATGCAGCGACAGCTGCCATAGCT